TTCGGCTGATGGCGCTGGCGGCGCTGGCATCGCAGCCCGGGGTGGCTGGTGGCGCCGAGACCGTCGGGAACGCCAGCGTGGGTAAGGTCGGGGCGCCTCCCTTCTGCACCCCAAGGGGCGTTTGCATTTCTTGCAAGGTCGAGGTCCACCCCAGGGTCTGTGCGCCCCGCAGCCGAGGCGGCGCGTTCGGAACCGGCAGGAAGGGGTCAGGGTCCTTCGTGCAGAAGGACATTCCCTTTGCGAAGGAGACGTCCTCACTCCGGCTGTGGAAGTGGGAAGAGATGCGTAGCTCCCTTGTTCACACACATTCCTGTCCCCCTCGGGGAGGGGAGCAGCCATGTTTGCGGGTTTCATTTGACACTTGAAAGCACCTCTGGGCTCCCGAGTGGCGTGGCTGAGCCGCGGGACCGTCGGGCGTGCAGAACCGAGGGCTCTGCGACCGACGGCCCCGCAGACCGCGCGGGGTTTTTACTTCCCAGTGGAGATGCTTTTCTAATTGGTGAGCTCGACGGAGTGGACAGGAAAAGCGGACTCAGATCGGGCTTTAGATCGGAGGTCATGTGCTTGGCTGAATGGGTTTTATAAGTAATTCGTGGTTTGTTAACATACACGCTGTGAATAGCACTAACTGTGCCAGGCTGATAATCACGTGCTTTTCCCGTGAGGTTAGGCGCATTCTTAGTTTTGCTTGGAGCGTTAAGACACTACTTACAGTTCTGAAACATAATATTTTCTGAATAATGTGATTGTGCTCCTAAATACTTATCTTTGAAAAGCTCTTGTGCAAACTGAGTTCTGGAATCTTTGCATGGGACTTAAGGCCAGAGCTGAAAAGGGCAAGTTCTATTTTTGCAGGAAAAGAAAAAATGAGCCTTTTTTTTTTTATGGGCCACTACATTCACTGCAATGCAGAATGTGCCAGGTGCTTTTTCATGACAGTGTGTTGTTTTTTTGTTTTTAATCCTCATCCGAGGATATTTTTCCATGGATTTCTAGAGAGTGTGGAAGAGAGAGGGAAAGACAGAGAAACATCAATGTGAGAGAAACACATCTGTTGGTTCGAGCACCATGCCCTTGCCTGGAATCGAACCCAGGACCCTTCAGTAGGCAGGTGGACGAAGCTCTATCCACCGGCCAGGGCAAGGCAGTGCTTTTTAATCATCACGACTCTATAATCACAGCCCTCACTTGGCAGAGGACGGAGCTGAGGCCCTACATGATGATGCCCACCACACAAGCAAACAGCTCTAGGGGCACAGGCGGCATCTGAACCCAAGTATGTCTTGCGGCAAATTTCCTGGTCCTTCCACTTCACCACAGCTGCCCCGAATAAGAATGTTTTACTTTGCACTGAATTCTTCCGGGAATTCTCATTTCTCAAAATAGCCTTCTGAGGCAGGTGGAGGAGAGGCTGCCCCGTCTCAACAGGGAAGCATGTGAGAGATGGAGTTTGCAGTTGATCCGGGAGGGCTGCGGTCCAGAACTTTTCACTTCTGGTTCTGTGCTCCAGTATTTAATAACAGCTGGACATTTTTACACAGAAGCTGAGAAACCTGAGTAATCGAGAGCTTAATATTCTTCAGGCGCAATTTCGTGCCTCTTCTGTGCTTTCAGCACTGATATTTCCTCTACCATGATACTCTTTTTGCCTGGCAGCAGTATTGTTGCTCTGTGCGGAAGGACAACATGTGGGAACTTAACTGCGGAGTGGTAATTAAAGCTGATGTGCCCAAGCCGGTTTGGTTCATGAAGAGAGCCTCTGCCGATGGACTGAAGGGTCCCGGGTTGGATTCTGGTCAAGGGCATGTACTAAGGTTGCAGGCTCAATCCCTGGCTCTGGTTGGGGCACCTGTGGGAGGCAGTCAATCTATGCGTCTCTCTTACATTGATGTTTCTCTCTCTGTCTCTCCCCCTTCCTTCCACGCTCTCTAAAATTCAATGGGAAAACATCTATGGGTAAACATTAATAAAACTAAAACAAGCTGATGTTCTCCACATCAGTCAGATAGAAATTAACAAAGACTGCCCTAACCGGTTTGGCAGAGTGTCTGTCTGCGGCTTTCGGACTCAAGGGTCCCAGGTTCAATTCCGGTCAAGGGCATGTACCTTGGCTGCGGGCACATCCCCAGTAGGGGGCTTGCAGGAGGCAGCTGATCGATGTTTCTAACTCTATCCCTCTCCCTTCCTCTCTGTAAAAATTCAATAAAATATTTTTTAAAAAATTAGCAAAGACTTAGTTCAAGAGTTGCAGTCTCCTCATTTGTTTCGATTTGAGGACTCTGATAACTAGACAAACTGAAGGAATTAAGCAACTGCTGTAATTACTCATCTTTCCCCGGAAAAGCTAACTTGCACCACAGGGATAGTGGCTCAAAAGCCAAATAAATCTTTGAAGGTGGCAGATCAAATTTCTAGAATGAGGAAGGTGCTTTCTGTGGCCAGCAGGGCACAAGGGGTGCACCACACGTTTAAACAGTGTTCCCTTGTCTCGAAGTTCCAGTTCTCTGCTGCCTTTAATGTCTTTTGTTATTGTTTGTTTCACATCCATTAACTTACATAGAATTACATAGTAATTGGAGGTGAGCACAATGTCTTTTGAACTTCCTGATATTTGTGCTAATGATAATGCCATAAGTAAGGTAGCAGGCCATTTTTGTAGTTAGTTGCAAGTGGTCTCTTTCTCTTGAAAGGGTGTGAAAGATGCCCTGGCTGGTGTGGCTCAGTAGGTTAAGCATATCCCATGCATCGAGAGGTCACAGGGTTGCAGGCTTGATCCCCAGTAGGAGGCGTGCAGCAGGCAAGCAATCAATGTTCCTCCCTCTCCCTTCCTCTCTTTCTAAAAACATCAATAAAAAAATATATATTTTAAAGTATGTGAAGAGTAATATGCACATTTTGTGTTTCCTTTCAGCTTTTAGTGCTAACGAAAACACGTAAGACATAAATGAGAAATTGGTCCCTGCAGACATGGCTCAGTGGTTGAGCTTTGACCTATGAACCAGGAGGTCACGGTTTGATTCCCGGTCAGGGTACATGCCAGGGTTGTGGGCTTGATTCCCAGTGTGGGGCATGCAGGAGGCAGCCCATCAATGATTCTTTCTCATCATTGATGTTTCTCTCTGTCCTTCTCTCTTCCTCTCTAAAATCAATAAATATATCTAAAAAAAATAATAAATAAATAAATGAGAAATTGGGAGGGGCTGTTGCATGTTGACCAGTTCAAGTAGCTAAATTAACTGCTTTTGTTTTTAATATTTAATCTGAAGAGAATTATGAAGACAGCTTTCACAAATCTTTCCTAGAATTTGGTTGTTGTATGAAAGCACAAACAATGCTTTCATTTTAGTAAAACAGAGGTCAATTTTAGTAAAATAGTAAAAAGGAAGAATTGAATAATTTTAAGTTTGCAAGTTTAGGATTTGATTGGGAAAGAAAAGGGATTGGGTAGCTCTTGGTGGAATAGATTTCTTGGAAAGAAGAAGTGACTGCGTAGGAATGATGAGTAGGAAAAATAGAAAAGAGTCCCCTGTTATATGGGTCAGATAGAAAAAAAAATATTTTTGGCAGAAAAAAACAGGCACTTCTTTTTAGAGGCGAGCTACAGACAGCATAAGGCTCTGTCTCCTTGTTGGCCATGTGCTCTGTAATATCACTGGATGTACTGTTTCCCTCCCACACCCAAAGTCATAAGATCTAATTATGCCTCATGGAATGTTCCTCACGAATCCCTTCCCAGATGGCTTAGAGGTGAATTAAGTTCCTGTTAACTTCTTCGGGATATATTTTGGTTATATGCCTTTATTTGCCATGTGTGCTTTTATGAGTAGAAGTTAAATGCAGATTCTGCTAGACTGTACTGTTCAAGTTGTCTTGATTTTTCAGGATTTTTCCTTCTCACTTTAAGGAGGTCTCCTTCTCACCTTGATGTTTTTGATGGGTGTGGCAAGCATTTATTAGTATACCTGTTAGTCCTCTTCCCACGCCTTTATTTGCAGGACCTTACTGAATGCCTGACTTAAAAAAATAAATAAGATGAGCCTCTGAAACACTGGGAGGCTAATGGAAGTTAATCATGATACTTTATTGTGTAGTATTGGACTGTTTACAAAAATGTCCCCATTTATTTGAGAATTTCAGCAGCCAAGTGATTTATGTAGCACAGTTACCTCCATTTTACCATGAGGGAACTGAGGCCCTGAAGAAAGAAATTACTTCCCTGAGGTGACAAACTTGAATTGTCATTTACTAAACAGTTACTATGTGCCAACTAGGTGACCACTACTGTACTAGGCGTTGGAATGTCAAACATGACAAAGCCCTGTATAGCCAGGAGTCATACCATAACTGATTTTGTTAATACGCAATCTTCTGTAAAAATTGTGAAATGGCTATCAGACCGCAGGGGTAACACTGCCAGAGGATTTTCACACAGAAGTTAGGTAGACGATAACTAAGAATAGGGAAAATATACTTATCCTGTCCTACCTCATCCAACATTGAGTTAGGAGCTCTCAAACCTGGCTGACCATTAGAAATCAGCTGGAAGACTTTATTTAAAAAGGCATGTTGGTGAAGAGTCAACTAGAAATTGAAATTTAAAAGAAAAAGTAAATGAACAATAGCATCAAGAAACATGAAATATTTAGGGATAATTATAATGGGATATGTGAAGTCCATTACAGAGAAAACTATACAACAATCTTTTTTTTTTTAAAGTATGTTTTTATTGATTTTAGGGAGAGAGGAAGGGAGAGGGATAGAGAGATAGAAGCATCATCAATGAGAGAGAAATGTCCCTTGGCTGCCTCCCGCGTGGCTTCTACTGGGGATGGAGCCTGCAACCTGAGCATGTGCTGTCTCCGGGAATCCTTATGGTGCTCCTGTTTTATAAATTTCAGATGAAGAGTTGAGGTAGAAGCTGTGTTTTGAGTGCCATTAAGGTTTCTTTCTGAAAAGAATACCTCACTATCACTGTAGAAATTTTATAAACAATGAAATGTGTAAAGAAAAGAGAAATCACTTAAAATATATTCCCAGGGATACCTATGTTTAATACCCCTACTTATTTTTTCAGGTTACTAGTTGTTTAATAATGTATTTTAATTTCTTTGGTCCTATCTTTCCTTACTCTCTTTTAAAGCAATGAACGCTTCAGTTCTCCAAGTATTTCTTATTTGTGATTTATCTTCACCTGGTTTACCTATTTAGTGCATTATTTGAGAATTAGCTTGGACGAAGAAAGAACTGGTGTGCAGCTAGGAGAAAGATACACAGAGAACCATGGGTAGAGTGAGTGAGTTAATAAACAGAACCAGACATGGATGGGAAAGGCCTAGATGAGGTGTTGGAAAACTGTTGTTACAACCTGTCTTTTATGTGGACTCTGAACTTGGTCCTTAACCAAAAAGCTCATTTTTCCAGAATACCCGTGGTTCATAAAGTAAGTATCTGAGGTGGGCGTTCAAATGACATTTTTGCCAGTGCTGATGGCACCTTCTTTTGCAAGCTGGGTAATACAGTCCTATTTGGCAGTTGAAGAAATTGAGGTTTAAGAGAATTGAGAGCCCTAACTGGTTTGGCTCAGTGGATAGAGTGTCGGCCTGCGGACTCAAGGATCCCAGGTTCGATTCCGGTCAAGGGCATGTACCTTGGTTGTGGGCACATCCCCAGTAGGGAGTGTGCAGGAGGCAGCTGATTGATGTTTCTAACTCTCTATCCCTCTCCCTTCCTCTCTGTAAAAAATCAATAAAATATATTTTTTAAAAAAAGAGAGAATTGAGAAACTTGCCTAAGATCACACAGCTCATACATGGTGGGATAAAATTGTAGCCACCTCTGTGTCTCCAGGTGACTTCAGGATTCTTAGTTCCTACTGTTCTTTAATACCAGTGCATTCCCAGTTGTCAGTAGCTCCTTAGGGTTGCTAATTCTTAAATTCAGGGGCTCTGTTCAGAATAGAATTGTTATGGTTGCTACCAGATGGTTTTTTTTTTTTCCTGGGCTCTGGGAGCCGGGCACCTTGAGCATCCTCAGCCACTTTAGGAATTTTTCTCATCTTTTGAAATACTTTTTCCCATTTTAGTTCTTAGTTCTGCCGCTCACTAGCTAAGTCACCCTGGTGAGCTGCTTCACCTCTTTAAGCTTAATTCTCATCAGTGAAATAGGGGCAGTAATAAAATTTATCAACCAGTTTTCTTTCTGAGGATTAAATCTGTGTCTATGTTTATATATGTGATTTCTACAAACTGATATTAGAGGTTCGTAATTACAATGAAACGTTTCTCTTGTTGTAGGTCTTATTGAATTTTCTGTGGGGAAATTTAGATACTTCAAGCTCAACAGACCCTTTCCAGAGGAAGCTATTTTGCGTAATATTTCCAGCAATGCGACTTTTCTTATTTTCCAAATACACTCACAGTATCAGAATACAACCATTTCTTTTTCTAAGGTAAGTACAAAGGATTATTTCTGTAAAAACTCTTTCTGCAGTTTGTGTCCTTATATTTAGCAAAAGCATCAGAATTATTGGATGCCTCTTTATGTTTAACTTTATGTCTTAAACTTTTTAAAAAATAATCAAAGTTGGTTTCTGTCAAATTAGTGGTTTAGAGCAGCTAAGAGGTGAATGTCTCAGGCCTTTCTTGAATGTGGTGACCTCTGACTTAATGAGGAGGTGATAGAGTGCCTAGTTTGGGGGAAGGGTGAGCTATGCCAGTGTTTCCTGTCTGAATGTAGTTAAAGCTTTCCTCATTATTTCCCACTTTTTTTCTCCCTTACTCTCCTGGGCCCTTGATGATTTTTTACCTGTGAATACATTTTAATGGGTTTCCCTTTCTGTTTAGCCATTTAATGTGGTCTTGAGTATGACTAAGATATATATGTTTAATAAGACCCTGTAGGATCAGCTTTATTCTTTGACGCCTCTCGGAAACAAAAATATCCTAAGACTGAGTTAATCTTCTAGCAGCATTCAGAACTCTTGCAGAAATCATCACTAAACCCTTTAATCTCAGCCTCAGCTTTGGGAAGTTTTTCAGATGCCCTGGCTTAGCCTAAGCTCTTAAGGACCTGCCATTATGTTAAGCTTTTCCAAGTCTATTTCTATTTAGCCCATATGACTCTTTAGACAAATAAATTCCACTATGTGTGTTGTGTGTTCTGTTTGTCTTAAGCCTATATTCTAATACCCTAGATTTTGTTAAACAAAGCTCTTTTAGTCCAGTTCATATATATTTTATAGGCCTTGGTCATATAATCTCTCAAACGAAGTCTTTTGTATATTTCTATCCTGACATCCTGCTTCTGTCACGAAGGTTTTGAAGTTACATGCCTGTGTGTGGTAGTTTAATCGACTAGAAATGGAAGAGTTCGATCATGGAAAACAAGAAGGAATAAATTGTTAATTGCGAGAGATGACAGTGCCTGTGACCCATTTATGCTGACTTTGCTTTAGTTTATGGCAGCCAGAGCAAAAATCAAATCATGTTAAATTTCCTAACTTTCTTAGGAGGAAGAACATGCCAGTTACTCAGAAGAAGCCAAGTTTTTTTCTGGCACTATATTCAAAAGGAACCTCCCTATTCAGACCCTTACATAGGAGACATAGTAAAATGGCACATGTATAATTTCCTTCTTAATAACATTACTACACAGACAACATTTGAAGGAAGGGAAAGGGCAGAGAAGAAAAAGGCATTTATATTCATTGCATGCCTACTGTGTGCTAGGCTGGTAGTCTTAGCTCCTGGGGCCATAGACTTTGAATCTGCTGAAATTGATGGACTCTACCTGGCAGAACGTAGATACATATGCGTGATTTCAGGGGGACTTCGGGAAACTCTGGGCCTCTGGGGCTCCCTTTGAATCTGCTGAAATTGATGGCCTCTCTACCTGGCAGAACGTATAGATACATATGCGTGATTTCATGGGGACTTCGGGAAACTCTGGGCCTCTGGGGCTCCTCGTTAGGAACCCCCGTGCCTGGTTTTCCATATAATTAATTTAATTCTCACAACAGCTCAACAAAGTAGTTACAGGGCCTGCTTTTACCTCTGAGGAAACAGAGCTCGGATAAAGGGAGGTCGCCATAACTAATGTGACAGAAGCGGCCTGAATGAACAACATATGCCCGTCACAGTCCCCCAGCTCAGTTCCCCGCGGGAAGGATCTTCGTTATCTTTAATTATAACAATGTTCCTTCACGGTGCTGCCTTTAGTTCTCACCGTGTCTGTACTACTGAGAGGATAACCAGCCTGCATGTAGCTCTGGAAGTGAGAGGTCTGTGGGGAGAGGATTGTTTCTGTGTCCTCTGCCCTTCCCGACAAAGTGTAGCACTTAAGATTTTTAGGCTCATCATGGCAGCTGGTTCTTTGAAACTGTCGATTCTGTAGTTTGTCAATTAGTATTTGGGTCATTCTCCCTTATGGTTGTCAAATTGAAGCCTACCTATCACTTATGGAAAAATCAACCTGCTAGTCAGTCTGCAGTTATGGAAAAACCTGTCAAGGAAACCTAACATATGCCAATCACAGTCCTCCCACTCGGTTTCAGCCAGCTTACATTACCCTCCAAATAGGACTTGCTGGTATCTTAAGAACTTCCCGACCTCCTAGTCCCCATCCTGCCCTGTTTCTGTATTGCTGTTTTTAATGCTCTATAGAGCTCGCTCTCGCCCCAAATCCCTCAGAAACAATATTCCACAGCATGTCAGGCATGCACTCCCTTAGCCCATGGGTTGTTTTCCCCTGAATAAAGGATATCAAACTTGTGATGAAATTATTTTAGTTTCATCATTCAACAGTAGTGTTAGTACCTGACCTAGTACATCTTAATTTGGGGGATAGAAAAGCTTGGGAATTTTATTGCATCTGATCAAAGATCGTGTATTTTAAATAGTTCTGCCATGTGTATGTGTGGGCAAATGCACATAGAGGTGAAAAGAGCCCTTTAATTTTCTAAGGAAGGTATTTTGATTCCGTTCTGTTTGGGGAAGATTTGGAGTAGGACATGCATAGTAGATCAACTCTGGAATTTTAATATTTTGTTCAACTCCCTATTCACGATGACTCTTTTCTTCCTTATTGCAGACTCTCCTTCCCAGTACCTCGGGAACAGGCACTGACAAAGGACTGGTTTTCATTCTTAGACCAGAGCAGAGTATGTGCTTTTGGTATTTGGAGACTTCAGATGCTGAGCCTGTCCAAAATATGGCCATTCCACTCTCCTACTCAGAAAGAGGTGGTAACTTTTCTGTCTTCGACTTCTACTACTGTCTAGAATATGGGACTGATTCCTGAATATTTAGGGAAAACTGTAATCTTATTAAAAGTGTTTATTGTAATACAATATATTTAACCAGAAAGGTTTTAATAGCAAGGGAGCCAGAGAATTATCATGATGTTGAAAGTCCTGGAAGGAACTAGGAGAATACATTTATTCATTGGAAAAACATTTAAGGAGTCCTTGGAAAAGCAGTAACAAAAGGGCAAGACACAGCCCTTAACACTTTGGTTGGTTATCCTAGGCAGAGGAGGGCCCTGAAGGAAAATAGAGTATTTGGAGAATGGCATATAGTAGGTGTGGCTGGAGGCAGAGTGTGAGGGCCTTGTATATAATTTGAGGTTTGCATTCTATTCTGAGATCAGTTCTGTGGAAGCATAGAGAGTGTTTAAGCAGAGGAATGATGTGATGCACTTCATCTCTTAGAAAGTTAACTCCAGAAGCAGTGTGGGGAGTGGGCTGGAAAGGTCCGTGGCAGCACTAAGGATGTCCAACTGCCACCCAGCGGGCCTAAGCTGTCAATCAGACATCCCCTGTGGGCTCCCGGACTGCGAGAGGGCACAGGCCAGTTTGAGGGACCCCCCTGAGTGCAGGAATTTCATGTGCTGGGCCTCTAGTTATTAATAAAATGGAATGCTATAAATGTGTGTTTAATTAAGTATTCAAATACCATTCTGATACATGGTCTTGGGGGTCTTTGAGGTCTTTTACTCTTTTTTTTTTATGTATACACAAAGACTCTTACAGAATTGATATGACACTGTCTTTCTCCCTATTACTCATGGAGTTCCTTTCCTCTTTGGCAGTGTTTTTTTCCATTCCATCCCTGGGTTCTTATGTTCTTTTTGTAGGTTCATGGTCCCCAAAATCTAATAAAGACCGCTTTCCCTAGGAAATGGACACTTTCAAAATACAATTTCAGGGTGTTCATGGAGCCCCT